GAGCCACTTTGGTCCTCTCATGAATACATTACCCTTCTTAATCTTGAATAACATAAAATAAATCTCTTTAACGTCTTTGCAGTTTTCCCCTCCTGAGGTTGATGATGCCCGATGAGTTAGATTTATGTAGAGGAGCCTCTCTTTTTTAAATCCTGGTGACCACTTCTAGTTTCAATGTCCATTTGCTTTTTGTTTTAGGTATTTGCACCAGTCTCCTCGTAATATCATGCTAGTAATTATGTTGTCACATAGGATGTTGTAACTGCTGTCAGGAACGTCACTGTTTAGACAAATTATCTTCCTTATGTCAAAATAAAATTCAAAAATAAGTCCAGAAAGATAAGACAGTAGTCCCTCGCTACTTCGCGGTTCGACTTTCACGGACTCGCTCTTTTGCAGTTTTTCAAAACAAGATTGGACATGACACACAATTGGCTGACTGATGGATGAGCCGCAAGATTGACATGGATTATTATTTTTTTTTTAAATAAACAATTTTAAATTATTTAGCACCTGCTGTATCTGTACAGCCCACATGTGCAGGGAGAAGCTCCCTCTTGCAGCATGTCATGCTCTCTGCTCTGCAGCGGAGAAGTGGGCGTGGCCAAGAGCGCTGGCAGGTGGCAGAGAGAGCAGAGATAATGACATTCTGTGCTCTTTTAAAGCGTTTAGAGTTTAGAAACATTGTTTAGAATATTGCAAGAGTGTGGGAAGTGTTTATACTAAAATAAGCTACTCCTTACTACTTGTACTACTATTCCTACTTCATGGTTTTTCACTTATCGAGGGGGGACTGAGAATTCTGATGGAAATGAAGGCTGGAAAACTGCTAAAATAACATGCAAGGTCAGCAAAGTAGTCTTCAAGTGTTGTGTTACGCTGTAATCCCTAAAGTGCAACCTTATCTCTTCTTGATTACGTTGGCTCTTCTGGGGAATTTCAGCATTGTTGAAAGCTATGTGTGTACTGTTAGACACAACAATTTTTAGTCCCTCATTTCTGCCACTTTTGAAAAGTGGAGAACTTTTCTTATGTCATTTTAGGTAATTTAGTAAGTTCTCAGTTACTCTTTTGTTATGATGTCCTCTTCTGTGTGTTGTATTTTAAATATGTATTGTGTTAAGCCTGTCTTCTGGATCTGACACTAGCTGAGCACAGAGACAGATAAGACGTGTGTTTGTATGTACATGTGTGTGCGCTGCTTGTAAATGACTGGGATGGTGATGATGATGATTATGACGATGATGCATCTTATCCCCATTAGCATTAGCCTAGATCTGTCAGAGCTTTCCTGCGTTACTGTAAAACCTCAACCCTGAGGAGCAGCATGATTGAACACACACTCAAAACAAACGCACAACCATTTCAGTTTCACATTCACCTAAGCAGAAGCACGTGAATTTGTTTTAATCCACAGCATGACGGACAGTGTTATGTATTTTAGGGGGATTTTTTAAAATTTTATTTATTCTCCCGTCTCTGTTCTGATCGACATGTTTCACAAACAAACTGCACCTCAGTCGTTCCCAGCTTCACCTCTGTCAGACAATCAGGAAGACGCCTCTTTGTGTTTTTGTTGTTGTTGTTTTCTACGCTTTCTGTGATCTTTCCATGACCCAAGCAACACTGAAAGAAAGAAACCAAACTGAATGTATTATGCAGCCCTGCTTTCCCATCCTCTTAATCGTTTTTGCCACTGTGCAGATCAACAAAAGGAAAGCCAAAAGATTAGAGCTGGCTGTTCATCATTCAAATCATTTAATAGCACACACACAATTTGTACTCCAAATCCAATCATTTCTAAACGGCAACACTCGTTCCTCTGTGGAATTACTTATCACCTTGAAGTAACTTCGATGTTCTTTGTTTTTGCAATGGAAATCATTTGTTTACAACACTAATATATTATTTTATCACTGTTAGGCAGATATTTTGCTGTAGTTTTAGCTAAATTCGAAGCTGTCTTGCATTTGGCCATGGAGTTGCTCCGGACTTGACGGCTTTGACAAAAAAACGTCTTGCTCTCCTTTATGATCTTTTAACATTGCTTCTAATTAACATCTCTGTTATTAATTTGCTGTGGCATATTTTCTACTCACCCAACCAGCCAGCCAGTTGACTCAAAGCCCCCCCTCGAGCTTCTTTTAAACTTGAAGTATTGAACTGGAGGGCAGAGAGCTTGAGATGAGTGTACGATCAGTCAGCTCACATGTGCTTTTACAGTCCTCAGACAGAATTATTCCTTTACAAGGTTTGTTTCAGTCTTTCAGCTTTGTCTTTTAGTAATTTTCTCTCTTTCAGCTGGTCTCCCTGCAGATACAAGCTGTTCAGTGTTTTTTTGTTTTTTCATCATTCGGTCTCACAGCATTGACTGCACTTTGGTTCTCTGCGAGCCTGCCCTTCTCATTGTGTGTCACCCAGAAACCATTTCATACATTACAGCTATTTTCTCAATGATGAGTGCTGATAAAGTGTTTCACCATTTCACCTGCTCATGGGCTGGGTTATTGTTCAGTCTTTATTTCTAATGGAGTGATGGTGATGATGATAATGATGGTAATAGCAGTTCAGTGATGGTTGCCCTTGATCTTCTTGTGTGTTAGTGTGTGTGTGTGTGTGTGGGGGGGGTGTCATTGTCTGTTGAGCCCTCACTTTTCTTGATTATTTGTAAATCCTGCTTTAAAAATAATAAAATAATAATAATAAAATAAGTATAAAAAGCCCTGAGTTGAGCCAAAACACGTTATAACAGTCATTTTAAGTGAACACCGTTGTAATTAACTTTGTAAAACGAAATTGAACTTGATAAATTGCATTTTCTGTGAAAATGCAGCAGTAATGCTGAGTGCTGAATGACTTGAAGTTTGTTGAAGATTCTGACAGAGTTGTTAAAGCTAAAAGAAGCAGAATGCGAAAAGCTAAAAAGTGCATAATACTAGCTAAACTAAGAGCAAGGCCTCTGGCTAAAAGCAAAACGTATCAAAAGACTGGCTAAAAGCTAGAAATAACACAAGAAGACAAAATGGATAATGCAGCTTGAAGTAGATTACAGACAAGAATGATGCTGAATAAATAAAGATATTTCAACACGTTCCAATGGTGATTTTTTTTTTGTTTGTTTTGTTATTAACAGTAAAGACTTTGAAAATTTTTAAAGTTACAAAAACAAACAGTGATACAACCTGTTGAATGAGTTGACCATAGCTAATATGGTACAAAGTGTGCAGAAGTACGCTGGTGAAGATTCTCAGTCATCCAGGACATGGTAAATTAAAAAAAACTTCATGACAAAAACAACTGGACTTTATTTGTAATAGAAAACGTTTCACTTCTCATCCGAGAAGCTTTCTCAGTTTAAAGATCAGTGAGTGTGGGCTTCAGGTTATAAAGCTGAGATAAGCTGAGATGTATGTGTGTATCTTATCTCAGCTTTATAACCTGAACCCCACACTCACTGCTCTTTGAATTGAGAAAACTTCTCGGAATAAAAGCAAAACATCTTCTGTTGCTAATAAAGTCCAGTTGTTTTTGTTTTGAAGTTTTTTGAATGTGCAGAAGTACCTTTTCCTGAAAAATCACAGAAAGAAACTTGAAAATAATTGTGTGAATTCTGAATAAACTACCTCACAAATGTTATTCATTTTACTGCCAAAACCCATTGTAACCTATTTAAACTGATTTTATTGGTATCCAATTTGTTATAACTAAAGCACAGCAGTAAATCAGTATCAGTCAAAAATTTTAAGTTGATGAGACAAATATGAACTATCTTGGTTTACTTATTTCTACCATGCAATAAATGTCATAATAAATTTAACAGCATTTTATTTTTATTTAGTTTTTTTCCCAGTTAAATAAACTTCATTGTAGGAGGAGGGGAGGGGCAGCAGAGCGTCTTTATTCACATAACCTGTGGGAGACATTTGAGATAGCTGGCCAATTCAAGGCCAAGCAGGGAAGCCTGATTTGCTAACAACAATTGTTTTGGGACAGACAGACAGTTTGATTTTTTTTATGTCTCCTTTCAAAAGTTCTGCTGGTACTTCTCAATGGCGAACCCGAGCAGCCAAGTTTTGTGGTCATTCCACCGAGCCGTACTTGCAGCCTTCCCCAAGATCGAATCCTTCACTCCAGTGAGTTCCAGGAGCTGCAAGTGGCCTGCGATTCTCAGAAATCGTGTCCAGCTTACGGCTTAGCTCACAAAGCATCTGAGTCTGGGCGCTCGAAGCACGACTCATTCCTTCACACATGACAGGCAGCTTCAAAATTGCCAGATCCACTACTGACATCTTCCAAATTTGTTGATAAGCTCGAAACCCGCCGATTCCAAAAAGCAGAAATCCCGCTATCATAAATCCAATTATGTATGCGTCTTCTACGTCCTCAATGGACAATGCGGACAGACACACCATCGTCCACTGGCCCCAGGAATCCATGGTGTATCCCGAAGCGAATGTCTCGTCAGGGCATGAGGGTTCTCCTTCACCCTGTCTTCTTGTTGAGAAAAATTTAAAATTTTAGTTTTATTACCGGTAGTGATTAAAAATTATATTAATTGAGTAGCTAAATGAAGGCTAGAGACTATTACTTTCACCTTTTTATGGTTTCTAAATTTTCGTTGTATTGTTTACTCGTCTCTGCTTCTTCAGACTGTGGGACGAACACAGCGCTGCAAACGTCACCAACGGCTTTAGTGCTTTTACAGCGACCCTTTAAATGGATACATTTCCATGGTTTTCTCTCTATGAGTTGCTGGACTGTAACTTGAGCTTAAGTTTATTTTTAACCACTCTGATGGATACGACTTAGAGAAGGTTCATGCTTTCCAGTGAACAGAAATAATTAATGAAGTTATTTTTTAAAGAAATCAGTAGAAGCCAGCTCAGCAACTCTTAAGTCGTGTTCCTTTTTTTTTGCGTTTGCTGCTTTTTCTTACCTGCTTTGTTGTTTTTGTGTACTTTATAACTTCACATTCCTCTTCTTTCTGTCTCTTTCTACAGGCTCAGGAAAATGTCTTTGTTGAGTTTAACCACCAGCAGCTCCTTGAGTTCTACAACAAGGTTTGTTCTGTTTTTCATATATATGTGTATATGAGGGATACATTGCTTCCTGACGCGCAGATCTTGGCCTGACGACGCCCTACCTTTCTGCTTCATACTTCATTCTTGTTTATTTTATCTATATTCTTTGGCATGTTTGTGTCAGTGTTTTTTTTTATGTAAAAAATATAAATACATCAAAACCAACTCAAAATCTTCTCTTTCTTTTAGCTTGAAATGGTGCAAGGACAGTTGGATTCCCTGACTTGATGCCTGGTGTTCTGTGTACAATCACACCCACACCAACATCATGTTAGTGTTGATGCTGACAGCTACGCCAGCTGTTGGAGGCTGAACATTTCCAGTCTTGCTATGATTTATCAGAGAACAATGTCAAACATAAAAAAGTTGTTGTTTTTTACCTTTTGAACTTTTTACAATGCATGTCTGTGCTCATTCTGCTAGTTCAGTGGGAGAGATACAATGGTTTTGGTGTTCTTATGAAGTGACATTTAATTAAACTGAAACGAGTTTTAAGGAATGTTTTCTTGAACATAAGAAGAATAACTTAATGCTCTATACATTCCTCATATTTGAATGTAATGTGTCTGTTAATGTGGAGAAAAAGTGCCATTATTCACTCATCTTAAAGCAGAATGTTCAACCTTGGGTATAAAATTAAAGACAAATGTCAACATGTTGTTTTGTGTGAAACAAATTTGTTCTCTCAATGTAGGAGTGGAAATAAAAGCCGGAGATGAAATCCATCCCGGCTGTTGTTTTTGTTTGCTGAAGGCTCATTATTTCTCATTAAGTCCAAACCTGGACGCTGCTTCAACAGATGGGAGTTCTGGGATGCACGGCGGACCTTCAGTGTGTGAGTGCTTCTTCGTGTGTGTGCTGATGAACAGATTGATGGACAGATTGACATGTCCTTCTTCAGGGGTTAATGTGTTTGGGTAAAATTTCAACTTCTACGCTACATTTGAGGATTTCTCATTTCTAGATGTCATTTTCCTCGTAAGATTAAACTTTTTTTTTTTACTTGTTACATCAGCCTTTCATTAACCTTTTGGAATTATTAAAGTTAAATTTTGTTGGTACTGACAGTCCCTAAATGCAAAAAAAAAAAAACTATGTTTTTCTTATAATATGTTGTACTTTTGATTTAAATGTTATTTTTAAATGAAATCTGTAATAAAAGAAAGCAGTTAATTTGATTTAATCTTGCTTTCTGGCCACATTTCTTTGTAAGACAAACAAAACACCATAAGATTTGTTTGGTTGTAAGTTATAACTGTAAGTATCTAACAGTCCTGATAAATTAGAGTAATAACTGGTGGTTTGTTTCCCTTAAGTGTACAGAAAGATATTGCCTGGTTATTGTTTGAGAAGAAGTCAAACTCAAATTGTAAAATGTCTTAAATCTTTCTTCGGGACTTGTTTTTTCGTTAATAAAAGGGCATGTTCTAACTTTTACAAAAATGCTCAGAAGTTTGAAAAGAAGCAGTGAAGTTTTTACAGATTTGATCCTAAAATCATCAATATTTAAAAATGTATTGAGGACAAAACTAAAGAGACAATTAAATCTTGACTTGACAAATCTATACATTTTGTGTTAAAATGGGATCAAGACGAAAACAAGATGGATAAAATACCTTAGTTTATTGACCAACTTATACAAATTGAAGAACATTGGGCGAAGCCTTGGCTTTTTATCACTTGTTTTAAAATGAAGCCAAATTATTTTTTCTTCTTAAGGAGCCACCATGTTTTTTTTCTTGGAGGCCAGAGGCTGCACACTCAGGATGTGGGGCTGTACCCACGATACAAAAGTCCTGTCTACACCCCCACCCATCCCTCCATTAGACTGTGACACCGTCAGTCACAGTGTAAGATCACGCTGTCCCTAAAGCCTCCAATAACTAATTCAAACAAAACATTAAAAAAAATACATATACAAACAGCAAGGTAATCACTACATCAGTCAACAAACATCATCAAACAACTGAACATTCACAAATACCTCACCCAGCCACACTTAGAAAAAATCCAATAAAAAGCCAAACTGTCCCTTTGAATTGTCATATGGTGGATTGTGTCCTGAAACTCCTCTGTCCTTATTATTATATATATATATTTTTTTTTAGTTCAATTGACAATTTTTCCCACCATGTGAGAGCGCCTGCAGCAAGAGAGAGTGCTGTGTTCCTCAGCGTGAGGAACAGATGGCGAGGCCGAGCAGGGATGGATGCCTGGAAAGCACAAGAGGATGAAAAAGTCTCACGGACGAAGACTCACACTGAGATCCTTCAGAACTCGGCACAGAAAGTCCCAATAAGAGAAAGAAGCAGTTATGCTGAGTTACATCTCTGCGTGCTTGTGTCAAAGCTGTTGACATTCACAGCTCATGAGTAATTTTCTCTCATTTTAATATCTGGAGCAACACAAATGTATTTGAACCTGTTTGATTGTACCAGAAAGTGATGCACTTAAACGTCTTGTAGCTTTGCCGTGGAGTGATTTTCAGGTTTTTCAGTGACTGATTTATTCTGGATTGATAAAATGAAGACTGACTGATATGACCTTTTTATTCAGCTAAATATAAAGGTGGAACATACTGTTTTAACCAGTGCCTGAATGTGTATCTGGTTGTTACCAAATCTGGCAGATTTTAATGAAACTTCGAGAAAGTAATTGTTACGTACATCAACATCTGATTAATTTATGGAATCAACCTGATTGATGATGGCTGCCACTGCCAAATGATCTTAAAATACTTTGGTAATAACTGATGGCACAAACCCTGTCTATTAGCAAAATATCTTGAGCCACTGGACAGATTTCAGTGAAACTCTCATTAAGTAATTATTAGATGTACATCTTTAACGTTTGGAGTCAACTCAGTTCACGTCCTAATTCATGCTCAATAATCCAGGTATAAAAATCCAGCAAAGTTGAGTCAGGTCCATGGACGGTTTCTTTTTGTTGAAACATTTCGTCTTTCATCCAAAGGACTCCATCAGTCCGAGGAGCTGCAACCAACTCAGTCTTATAAATAGCACCTTCTCACCAGTTTGATGGTGCTCTGATGGTTTCTGTAGTCCGCCCTCTCCCCCACCGACTCGTTTGAGGCAGTCATAACCAACTCAGTTCAACAAAGTCACCACAACTAATTGAACTTAGCCAACACAAAATCAGTAAACCTTTCAGCTACCGAGCTGAAAATTGATGTACAGTAGCTGAATCATTTATAACGCCCACCGTTATCATGAGTTAATGTCATTGACAAAGCTTGATCAAAAAGGTTAAGACTCTTCTTGTAAGATGTCCTTGGTCTAAAACACAGATGTTGGGTGATATGCATTCCTTTATGGAATGTTGAGCTTTTAGTTTAATTCTTGGCTTTTCATTTTGAGCAGCTGAGAAATACCTTCAGTGATGCAAGCTTTGGTAAGTCGTGCTTTCTGCAGCTCTATTGTCACAAATTAAAGACGGCAGAAGAGACGCAACCACGAGTGTGTTTTATCAAACTGCGGCTCAGAAACACAACAGCATATTTTTTTTAGCGGCAAAGACGAAATTAGTTTTTGTTTTTACGAGGAACATCCATGGATGGGCGAGCTTATGAGCAGGTAATAAAAGAAAACAACAGCAGAGGGGTTAGTAACTCTGAATCTGCTGCGTCAAGAACAATCTGCTTTCTGCACCACTGTCTCGTGTGAGTGTGTGTGTGCGTGGTTAATAAAATATTTATCGCCGTACTATTTTCAGTCATACAAAGTGCATCACCTGGACGCTCACTAAATGAAAGTGGGCCAAGGTTTCCAGTTTGACCTCAGTCTATTTTTGCTATCCAGGCTTTTCTTTTTAACACATTAAACTGAACAACCAGGATAACAACAGTTTGAAATGTATTTGATTTTTTTCTTTCATTTTGAGGATGAATAATCAGACTTCACCAAGAAAGTTTCAAACTAATGATCAAATTAAGTCTAAAAAAATAAATACAATGTATATCTTATTGTTCAATCTGTTCTTCTTTGATGCCGTTTGCTGTCGTCTATTTATGTGGATACTCTTTAAAACGAGCCCGTTGTCTTGTTTGAGCAGGAAACTAGTGCAAAAGATTAAATAATTTTCCAAGTTTTAATGCTCCTGTTTGGATTTTGTCAGCCAAATGAGGAGAAAAGTAATAAAATTCAGGTGCAAAAATATCCTTTAAAAACATTTTTTGTGGATGAGGTGTTTCATGAAGTGTGTCAAAATTTGATGTGAAATAAATAATAAATGTTTTAATCAGCTGACCTCTAGCAAACAGCTTCTCCTGGGGGCAGAATAGATTGGAAACACTTCGAGACTCCGTTTTACTGCAGATACGCACAAAACTGTGTAACAGCAATATTTTTTTCTTTATGAACCGCTTACAAATGCTTCAATAAACTTTTCCCCACCAATCTCTGGAGCATAAATCTGACAGCGATTTTTTTTTGTTTCCTACAAAATATTTAGTTTATTTTAATTTTCTTTAAATCATTTCTTGAATTTTAAACCTCAAACGGTGCTCAGTTCAGTCGTTTTCTCATCACATTTCACCTCAGTGGCTAAAATATTTTTACTTTGATGAAGCCAAAAGACTGAAAAAGTCTCATTTACACAGTTCAGAACCTTAACTTTGTGCTTGTTCAGAATATTTTTCTTTTTAAAATGAAGCAGCCTGAAGTCTCTTCAGGATTGATTTGATCATTTCTGGTGTCAGGTGAGGCTCTGTGCCTCATTATTCCACATGTTGTTTGGAGGCAACGTGTTATTTTTTTATTCAGATTTGAGAATATTTCTTGTCCAGGTCTAAATGTCATTCAGATTCATTTTGATGAACTTCCACGGTGCCAGCATGTATCTTTGTGGGGAGCAGCTTCACTGCCATAAAAAGGTCTGTTTACTGGATTATTTTGTCATCTTCAGAACAGAGAGGGATGGTGACTGCAACAAGCGAGCTGCAGGATGTAAATTGTCTCTTTGAGCTGTTTGCAAAACACCTTTCCACAATTTACCATGAAACCAGAACAGAAACATGGCCGCAAAGAGTTTTTGATGACAAAACATACCTAATCTGAACATTGTTGGGATGTAATGATCAATTTGGTTTGTCAAACTAAAAATTAATTAAAACGCTATAAAAATGGCTAAATTAAGTATTTTCCTTTTCCTTGTTGAGCTTTTAATGTTTTTAAACCTTATTAAAATATTGTGCTCAAGCTGATTAACAA